ATTCATACAAAATACACTTCTAAAACAAACGTTCCAGGAAGACTAAAATCCTGATACAAAACAAGAAAGTTTTCAGATCCCAAAGCATTAAAGGAGGCCAAAAGAGAACACTTTATAATTATGAAAGCCACAAACCGCAAGGAAGATGTAATAGTTACAAATATAGGAATTGACACATAATTGACAGATGAAAACATTTATATTTCAGCCCAAAAGCCAACAACTTATATAATAGAGATACATCAGCAACATTCCAATTAATGTTAGGAACAAGGAAAGGATGAATGCTATTTGATATTCTCTTGGAAGTGTTAGCTAATGCAAATCAGACAAGAACACACAAGTAGAGACATAAGATTTGGAAAAATATTCAGTGATATAAAATTCAGTAGCCACTATATACGCAAGCAAGCAATAACCAATTGGGAATTATAATGGAAGAGAAATTATAATGCAACAGCAAAACATATAAAATACTTAGATATAAATATGAAAAGAAAATAAATACGAAATGAAATGTACAAATCTATATGAAGAAATCTATATGAGGACATCATTAAAACCTACATGAAATACATCGAAGTAGACTTGAACAAATGGAGAAAACGTCCCTTTTCTTGGCTAAAATGACTGAAGATCATAAAGATATTGTTTATCCACAAGTTAATATCTAAACATAATATCTCAATAAAAATTTCCAAAATATTTTTATTCATTGATGTAGATATGCTTATTTTTAAGTTCATATGGAAAAATAAACGTGGCAATATCTAAGGAAAGCCTGAAAAAGGACAATGAGAAGGGACTAGTCTTAACAGACATTAAAACTAATATAGATATTAGAAAATATATAGCTAAAATTGAGTGGTATTGGGATATGAATAAATAAAGACTTATGAAATAATATAGAAAATACAGTAATAAGCTCAGGTACATATAGAAATTTAATATATGATAAAGATGGCATATCAGATCACTGAAGAAAAAAATGAACATTTTTATAAAATGATTTTGAGAAAACTAAATATCCATTAGGAACTAATAAAATTAATTCCATACTACAACACTAACTGTAAAATGACCAGAGATCCAATAGTAATAAATAAGGCTATACATGTACTCAGAGAAAATATGGGCAAATTCTTTGATTACATAAAGATTAGAAAACAATTTTTTGTGGAAAATAGTATAAGAAATGTCAAAATGACAACCTAGGAGAAAATATTTGCAGCGTATGTTTCATATTAATGTGTAGATGCTCTAATGCACATAAAAAATCTCTTAAAAAAACACTGATAGATAAAATAGGCTAACGTGAAACAGTCACGTTAAAAAGATTATGCAAGTGGATGTGTGTGTGGGTGTATGTATAGAACAAGTACTCAACTTTTCTCATCAAAAATGCAAATTAAAACTACATCAGGCTATCTGTCACAATTTGAGTTCCTCATGAAGCCAACTCTGAGACGAAAATTTACCTGCAGGACAGTTATTAGAGAAGGGATTGATAATCGTGGAAAGGAGGGGAAAGAAACAAGTTTAGGCAGAAGAATTTGAGCTGTGGTACCATCAGAATGAAGGCCTTAGGTCATCCCACTGGGAGTTCTGGACTGGGATGGCCCTCCAAAGTAGTGTCAAGTTAAGGCAAGAGGGCTGAGCTTCTATCCTCCAACCTTGTTCAGGCTGCCCATGGATGAGGGCTGCCCTTGAAAAGAGGTGTGATTTTGGATGAGGCAGTTTCCTTCAGTCAAGGCAATCCCCAAAGAAAATGGACAGCTGAGAGCCTTCTTCCAGTAGCACTTACAGCAGCTGGGGGAATGGTCCTTCATTCCAGAAGGGGATTCTGGTCAGCACATCACAGTCTTCAGCTTACCACCATTTCCCACCTGTCAGATTGGCCAACATTCAAACGCTGAACAATGGAACAAAGACCACTTTAACAAATCAATCGGAACATAGACATTCTGCATTGCTGGTGGATGTGCAGAAAATACTACCCTTACTGTCGAAACTATCCTGAAGATACACTCCTACATATTACATATCAATATGCTGTTGCTGTTAGGTGCCCTCGAATCAGCTCCGACTCATAGTGACCCTGTGTACAACAGAATGAAACACTGCTTGGTCCTGCGCCATCCTTACAATCGTTGTTATGCTTGAGCCCACCGTGACAATCCATCTTGTAGAGAGTCTTCCTCTTTTTTGCTGACCCTCTACTTTACCAAGCATGATATCCTTCTCCAGGGACTGATCCCTCCTGATAACATGTCCAAAGTATGTGAGATGTAGTCTCACCATCCTTGCTTCTAAGAAAAATTCTGGTTGTACTTCTTCCAAGACAGATTTGTTCGTTCTTCTGACAGTCCATGGTATATTTGATATTCTTAGCCAATACCATAATTCAAACACATCAGTTCTTCTTTGGTCTTCCTTATTCATTGATGCTTTGCATCGGGCAAATCTGCTGCAAAATATCTCTTTAAAGTGTTAAGGACTAAGGTGCGCCTGACCCAAGCCCTGGTGTTTTCAGTCGCTTCATATGCATGTGAAAGCTGGACAATGA